TGAATTATTTTTAAAGAAAAAAGGTAACAGAATGAGAACTTAACGTATTTTTTATTTGTTCTTCTATTATGATTATCTACTACTATTACGCCATTAGTTTTATGATTAATAATATGTATATAATAATAATAATAATATATACGAGTACATGGTTATTGTAGAGAAATAATGCTATCTTTCAATATAGCATGATGTTCAGGTCGAAGGTGAAGCAGTTGTGTTTGTATGGCTGTGTTTCGGTTTAAAGGCTGCGATATGGCAGTGAATTTACAAGGTACAGAGGAATAACACATGAGTCCTCAGGAATGGCAATGCATGGGAGGTATCAAGGGCGAAACAGTCTATTATGTCCATGGTACTGTGCATGTCCATAGGCGACGGTCACCACTTTCCATCAGGTATGTCGTCAGCTTGTTTGCCATTCTAAGTTGCAAATAAAAAAATCAAAATTTTGTTAACTGCATGGACTTCTGCGTGATGGTCAATTCGTAACGTCGTAATTTGTCGTTTTAGGAAACTAATATAATATTAAACATAAAGATAAAGCAATTTTATTTCCAAAGAACTTCAGAGAAACTTCCAAAGAAAGTAGAAATTAATATTGCGCACGTAGTTACTCTGTAATGACAAATCATCAGGTGGGCGGCTAATTGTCATTCTTAAATAATAGATAGGTATGTGATTTCCTTAGTCCTCTTAAAGGTCTGATGGTGAGATTTTATATTTTTAATATAAAGAAGCTATATAATTACAAGAAAAAAGAAATAAAAACTACCTCTACGTAATTTCGATAAAAAATATATTTAAAATGACCTTTTTGTCAGTGATTATGTATGTATATGGAGTAGGAAAATAAAACCTTTGTATTTTGTCATTTCTAATAAATAAAGATTGCTCTTGTACAGATCGAAATCGCCAAAAAACGACCGCCCAACCTGAATTCATTAAAATCCCAACTCTATTGTATTTTATCATACAATCTTTTTTGCACCTCGCTCAAATATATTTGCAACCTCATTATATTGTCTTAATATGTCGCTTTTTGTATTGCTTATCTCAAATACAGTTAGGCATTTCTTTTATAATGAAATTTAGATTTTCTTTAAAATAATATACGTTTGAGGAAGTTCATAACAAAATTTACCAAAATGTGACAACGTTGGAATTATTTAATTTTCATCAGATATTGAACAATTTTCAATGTCAGATACGTTGATTATTTCAATGGTTCTCTGATGGCGAACTAAAATATTAATCATATAGCAATTAAACCTGCTACTAAAAGTTTTTCACTTTCTTCATATTTTATTCGAAAGTTTTCAAATACTATTATATTATTGGATATTGAGAGCAATTAATGCTCTCAATATCCAAATTTTCTATAATAGCTTTATAAGAATCTTATTACATAATTAACATTTTAGTTTATAGATAGATAATTTCGACATTACTACAGTTCAATATGAAAGCTCTTAAACAGAAATTTATGAAGTCACAAATTGTATTCTACACTCTCATTTAATACACAGTTTTTGTTTGTGTGTGTGTGCATTTATAAACAAAATAGTATTATCAATGTAGGGTTGCAATGGGCGGAGCCAGGTGTCACGGGCAGCAGCAGATTTTATCTTAGATGGGGGATGCACGCTACGCCGTCACCGTTGAGTCGCCATCCCCTTCCAAGCAACGCTAATGGAACAAATGCTTAAAATACTGAAAATGTAATTAAGTATCAACAACTAAAAGAAAATTAATTGATGTAGCAAACTGTCTTTGTTTCTGATGGTTTCGGGTTCAATCCCTGCACAATACAAATACTCATGTTTATTAGCTTTATATTATTATATTGCTTATTATTCTGAAAAGTAATGATATCTTTTTCCAGGAATTTTATACAGGAAGTGTATACCAAATTTCACAGTGACTGTTAAGCCCTGTTTTCTTTTTCTTTTTTTATTATTACGGCAAACAAACTAACTCACTTTCACAATTATAATTTCAGTACCTAAGGATTATGTCTTATATTACTTTAGGCGTTTTGTATGTGTGATGTATACATAAATATTTACAAAATTTAAATATCTATATGGTATTTAAATATCTGTATCTGTTATTAGTTATTTAATAACCGTGATATATCCCACAATCACGGTGCAAACTTAGCCTTCTTTAATTTTTTTTATTTTATTAATGACTCATTTGATAAAGTAAATTTTATTATTTTTATGTATTAGTTATAATAGACTCTAATTTAATCTCACACTGTAAGTAATATAAGGTTTAATATCGAAAGATAGCGCGATGTAGATAACTTGTTTAATAACGTCGTGGAATCAAGTGCAGTGTACAAACATCTTTTATAACTGTTTATTGTGTGTTGTTAAATCATACAAAGGACATTGGAATATAAATATGTTGTGGGACGTTTTCAATATCAATAAATCTATTTATTTCTTCGCTATTATCTGGTAGATAGCAGTTGGAATATTAATTTGCATGCTTTTGTCGTATAATTCTGATGTATGAGATAAATGCTTTTGTCCAATAATTTATTATGACATCACATGTCCTGGATATAAGTTTATTATTTTTGAGTTTTAAAAATAGTAAATTTACATCCAAACTAGTTTGGAAGTTTGTCTGTAAAATAACGTATTAAATACACGGACATGTAAGTTGAATCGTTTCTGAGGTTATAAATTTATAGTTATATGATTACATTTTTTTTAAATAACTCTTATAAACAAAAATCTCAAATTAAACGTAGATACTACTTCTTCTATTGCCTATCAATCGGCTAATTTCGGACATTCGTATTTTATAATGATCTTACTAATAAAATTGTAAATAGACGTTGTAATATATGTAACATAGAACAATAACTTCCAGAATATTTATTAGTCTGCCTACATGTTTGTTACGGCATTATGAAAAAACTACTGCACCAAATTAGATGCGGTTCCTGAAGGTCTGGTCCATAGGTCCTGAAAATCTAATTGAAAATTTGATGAGTTTTATCGTGATACGCCATCCAGTATTGGTCCATTATTTCTGATGAAATTCACTCGTACGAAAGTATCATTTTTATCTGCAAATATTTATTTATGTCATATTTGTGAAATTTTAATAATTTTTAAGTAAACATTACGTATAAGCAAATAGGTAACTCGTTGTTTGCCTAAACATAATGTGTCGTAATAATTATTTGCCTCGTATTTTACTAGTGTTATTAAATGCTTTACTTAGGTACTTTTTACTGAGAGTCGAAAATAATTCTATCGTCCTCTAGATAGTATATAGATTAATATTGTTTATTTAATTGGATTTTTATGTAAATTGAAATGTATTTTTTATGACTGTGACGTTTTTACATTGATACCTTTCACCATTTCTGAAGCTGCATCTCCTGTAATTTTATTGCTACTTCAAACTGAAACGTAACCATGCAAGTCGGACTGCTTCATAGATTGTAGTAAAATAGCCATTGTAGATACTATATATCTGGTATATATAGTATCTACAATGGCTATACTATATAATATAAACATTAATATATCGCTGATGGCACCTCCAATGTGTCTTGAATTTTGAGGACTAAGTACCTACTCTTATATATCAACACTTGAATAAGATATTCATTTATAACTTTATTGACTATTTATGCATGGCTTAAAAAGTAGATTTTATTATAAAAAGTGGCTTAATACAACAATTTTTGGTAGAAAACAGATATTTTAATCTTCATACCGAAATCAAAACCACAGAAATACATCAAAAGCAACGCATCTATTTTTGCAAAAAACTACTGCTAGTGTGTGAAAAATTTCACCGTATATACTGTTATTTGAGTTGAGCGTTTATCTAAACAAGAAAACAATTTCAAAATATAACTTACTAAATAAAAGAATATAGCGTTAGGTATTTAAAAGTGATTAGAATATGGAAAATGCATGCATGTGTCTTTGTTAGATATACTGAATAGGCAATCTTGTATATTAATAGAATAATAAATGTAGACTCAGTATCTAATAAAGCATTTAGAACGATATGTAAGTGTCATAATCAATTAATCGTAGAGCGAGTGCACCATGCAACATCTTCGTGCATGGCGGCCTTAACTTAGTAAGCCAATTTACCTTTGAATCTTGTAAGTCGGTGCTCGAAGCTGCTCGTTCCTCTCCCAATGCAATATGTTAACATATTTTTTAATTTCCCTTCTGGACAGTTAAAGAGGCAATCGCGAGTGCATGCGCAGGAGTGAGATTTATAATAAGAAAACGCTCCTACCGCGCATGCACCATAAGGATCTATAAATCTTTTAAGTACTGCATCGGCCAATCCCTGTTGAGAAACGATAAATCATCCCCGCGGACAGTGAAGTCGTATCGAATACGATCGCCGTCTCGCTCTCACTCGTCGCCACTTATACCGGTTAGATCATTTATCATTTCTGCCTCTCGTTCCTTCTCAATGATAAATTCAATTCTCTTTTAGAATATGATTGTTCCTCGTTTTGTTATTATGGTGTTTTATTGTGGGTATCGTCACGGAGTTGGTTTTTTGATCAGAATCCGATCGAAATGATCGCGAGAATTGGATTTCCATTTTAGATTTGGTGCGTCGAGTGATCAATCTTCTGGAAATCGTATTATGGATACGGGCTGTTGTTTACGAGTTTGGGTTCGAGAAAAAGTGATGCGTGCAAAAACAAATTATTTAGATATGTGTATTTAATGCAGGTATTTGATTCATGTTGATTGTATCAGAATTTCAGATCGATTGATGTTAATGAATATTTTTCTTATAACAATAGATATAGTTAAGTGTCATCTAAGCTTTTTTTACTTTTTTTTTTAAATATTATTGACATCAAATGTATTTTATATTTTTTATTGATGCTGAAAAAAGAAACTATTGTAATCTGTGCAACGATAGGTAATGAATAATAACAGATCAATATCATGAAATTGAAATATGGTTTTTTTATTTAATATCTTTGCTATTTACAGGGCTGTAGAAAATACAACAATTCATCTTAAAATAACTTAAAATACTTCGTGCTCTTTCAGTCATTTATAGGTATATAATAATATCATAGACATAAGTTTCAAATTTATCATCTCTATCTAAAACATCGGCCCGTGTAAAAATAGTATATTATTATGAACATACATATAGCATTATAGTCATACAATTCAGAAATAGGTAGCACAATTAAATAGCAACTACAATTAAGTAATTTACAATAAAATGAATCGCTTATTTCTATTATCACTGGGCATTTCCTTAGAATTTATTATCTTTACACAATGCTAAACTTAAAGTTACTTTACATGATTTTTACAACCTATAAATCGTAGTTTTAAGACTTCGGTGCTTTGGCCATGATGATCGTTATAATTTTATGTAAAGTACAGCTTGTCAAATATTCATAATATAGTGCTGGAAACAATGTAACTTCAAGTAATTAGCTGTCAAGTTATAATAGTAATTAAAATTTCTTACCACGTTGCTGGTCGCATGAATATATAAAAAAAATGTAGGAAGAATTCAATTTACAAAACGCCTGTTGTAATAGCAATATAAAAAGATATAATAAATCACTGTCAACAAAGATGTTGACAAAAATATTTGCTGTATTGTAATTTTATTCCCTTAAGGTATAAAAGATACAAAAGCGACAACCAAACCTTGTGAACACACTTTGTTTATTAAAATATGTCGCGTTGTGAATATTACATCCAACTAGCAGTAATAGTCAGTAACTAGTTATCTTTAAGTTTTGCATAATTTCCTTGATAATTACTTCCTAATATATTTTGAATCGTCTTTATGAATATTAATAGACAGAACTGTGGCTGGATTCACTAAGACATCGGACGGCTGTATAAGATTTACTGGTCGGACTATGTTAATGAACTAATTAATAAGCGTATTGTACTCCTAAAAAAGCACTCGAGTTGCGCTTAAAAAACTTTTCATTCCACGTTAATTTACAAGTACATTGTTCAATCAATTTCGTTCTCACACTGAAACACAAAACGGAAATATTTTAACCTACCTACTTACAAGTGACTATTAGGAATTTGCATTGGTTCTTATGTCAACTAACCGTCGAATGAAGAGTTCTCTAAGCGCGGTGCGGTCAATAGGCGGCCGCGGCGCCCGAGTGATGCATCAAATGATGGTGGTGATACGACTCTTGCGTCGGGCACCACCACTCGGGCACACCGTGAGGCATCGTCGCCGCCGGCTGCTGGAACTGGCTCCAGTGACCGCCGAAACCTATTTTATTGTCCATTACACCATTTCCTCCGATATTTGTTAAATGCGGAGATTGATGTTGATGAGGTGGAGCCGGTGGGCGTTCGTATGGTTTTTGGTCATGTGGGTTGAGGTACTTTTCGTTTAGGCTTTCTAATTTATCTGCTATAGAAGGATGATGGTGTGGGTGGTGCGTTGGGCCTGACGTAATTGGTGGAGGAGGAGGAGCAACAGGACTGGCTGCACCGGCTGTTACACTAACACTGCCAGCCGAGGAGGAATCGTCTCCGTCACTGTCGTACCGCGGCGAGGCGTCCCCAGTGGCACCGTGCACCTTCATATGTTTCCGTAGAGACGATGGGTGCGTGTACGACTTATCGCAGCCATGGACGCGACAGTTATAAGGTTTATCCGACGTGTGGACATGCGAATGTTTTTTTCTATCCGATGAGTTCGCAAATCTTCGGTCGCAGCCAGCATACTCACATTTGAATGGCTTCTCACCTGAAAACAAAGAAATTTCGAAGTTAGATAAATGAAAATTTTAAACAATGCAATATATATTTGAATGTTTATTTTTTAGTTTTGCCCAATTAAAAACTATGATTATTACGTATGACAACGTATGACTACAGTTACAGTAACGTACGAAGCATAGCCTAATATTATTATACTTGTACCACTGAGTAATAAACAAACAGGTCTGTTGATAAATTCCTCTTAAAACATTACTAAAGCCTAACTGTGATCGCCAACACGCCTGGAAAGTGTGATAACTACTAGCAAGATCTCCTTCAGGAGGGAGGCCTATATTGAGCAGTGGACAGTGGTTGGCATGATAATGAAGATTAATTCAAATACACAAGCCTCTCCCTTGGGGGGTATTTTTCAGTAGTTGCCACGATGCAGTTAGGTTTTGGAAATGTTTTAAGAGAGATGCTACTGCCCATTCCTTCATTTAGTTGCTACATACAACACTAACGGGTAAGGATGGGGTGGCCTATTCTATGACAGGCTAATAATTACATTACAAGACAAACATTCCATGTGTAATAGATATGTATATCTTCAGTCTCGCAGTAGAGCATTCAATTTGATACGTTTACTGATTTGATTCGAGAGTAATACGATCGAGCCGCGGGTACGCGAATGTCCAATCAGCTCGTAAATAACCAGATTTGCTCGTTGTTCATAGTTTACGAGCACAAATAAATATTCACAACAATTGCACGGGATACTTAACACGGTCATAAATCATATTTATAACACGACTTTGTCACGTTGTGCTAACAAAGACTTGCAACAGTAAATAAGGCATTTCGACTTTAATATCTGTGTTGATGTATTTAGGACTGAGTTTTTGATAGCTTTTGGTGCATGTTCAAGTAAAAAAGGATTTGAGTTAATATTGCTTCCGACGATATGATGATTAAAGGTTTTGATATCCATTTTATGTTTGTAGTGCACAACGTCAATTAAAGATTTATAATATATAGACAGTAGAGATAAAGGATCGTGTGAAATTTACATACTAATCTCCACAAGGAAAGAATTCCTGTCGATTACAAAATCGGCGGAGATGTCGCGTCATATAACTAAAAAAAAAAAAACCAAACGAACTGAGAACCTCCTCCTTTTGAATGTAGAAACTAAAAGAATAAAATTTTTTTGTATCCGTTTTCGTTGTTTTAGATGCTTTTTTTCATTTTTATTATTTTTGTAGGTGCAAATTATAAAACTGTGTTTAAATATAGATATATATAGTGTGTCTATCTTATAAAATCTTTTTGATTCACAGCGATCCCAATTTTTTGCATGTTTTTATTTTTTGCCTAATATCGACCGCTTCCCGCGACCGCGTATTGACAGATTCTTCACGAGTTTACCGAATCGTATGAGATAAGTATAATATTCAATAAAATACATTGCAAGTAGGCAGAGCGCTTATAGCTAGCGTGACCGTGTCGTACAACAATGTGCTACTCTTTGTTGTATTTACAAATAAACCTCTTCGCGTATAATCCTGTGTATTGTGATTGAAACTTGAAGATCTCGAGGACGGACAGATGCTAATCTCAAGTGTCTGTTAACACGGAAATAATAGGGCTTTTTAGGCGTTCCCTTACCGCAAATTTTTGTTATACTACTCGATACTGAATAAGTGTACCATCGACGGATTATTTTGAATGGAATGATACTTCCTTTCTTCCATTCAACACTTCATTGCAAAATATTTGCACTTTAACTATCGCACACAGTGTACAATTTTGTAAGCTTTGGATTGTAAACAGTATTTTTTATCTTAATTTGTATCGGTGTATAAAAGGTATCACGGTTTCCAAAAGTGATCTGATGTTCGAGGTCAAAACAATAAAAACGTTTCGGGTATATGGACTAATGAGATAAAGGAGACCAAAACATGTGTCGCCGTCTAATTAGTAATCGGACGTCTGATCTCCGTGTGATGTCACAAAAAAGGATCAATGACAAATGCTATTAGAATGTGATGTGATGCGTTATCGCGCACGCGCCACACCGCGTCACGCTGCGCTTCTGGGTCGTCTTGATTTTATGTACTAGAATTGACAATAATATAAAGATTTGTACCTATCTTCATTTAAAATTATTTTGATAATTATAATGAATTGTAAGTACGTCGGTAACTGTCAATTATGATTTTAATTAATAGGTTATTTTTACGTTAATTTTAATTGTGAAATGTACTTACTATATGCTACATAACGATAGTATTATTTAAACAGTGATCAAAATTTATCAAAATTTTCATGAAATTTTGTATCAGGATATGATATTTTTTTTAATTATTAAAAATGAAACGATAGCCTGCGGGCTTAATTCATATTGGTTGAGTATACAGGTGAGAGGTTATAAACGAGGATGAAGTCAGGTTACTTGACTCACAAATTGCTAGTACAGCTTCAAACCTCACTAGTATAATAGTAGGATTTAAAATAATAATAATAAAATGTTCTATACTAAATTCTTACCCATATAAAATTTGTGTTACTAATATACGAGTAGTATAAGTTATATTTATTATGCCTACACTCGTTTAGTGACATAAAATAAAAAGCTTACAAGTCGGGGTATGCATATGGCATTGGTATCGTGAATTCCCCGCGCGCCGCGCTGGGACGCGGCTAGGGTCAGATCTTATCTTAAACGGCTGTATCACTGTATCACTAACAGGAGACACTTTTTTGTAGTCTTACTATTCGTGTGAATTGTATCCTCAAATTAGAAGCTTCACAAAAAATATTGGTTTAAATTATTTTTGAATGCAAAAAAAAATCTATATGTACCATATTGATTTTACCACATCATGCCATAAATATCTGGTTTTGTGTTTGAAATATTACCTACAGAGACTAGGCTGAATACTTATAATGTAGTTAATAGGTCCTAAGTCCTAAGGTGGGAGGGGAGGTTTGGGGGGAAAGGGATTGTTATCAATTGGGAGGTTAGTCTCTATTGCTATTAATATATCCTATCAGGTCGACCTCCACGCGTTTCCCCCTGAAAACTATGGTTGAATTCATCACGATGGGCTAACTGGCTTGCCTTCTCATCCTCAGTGATCATCTCTCATGGTGCCCCGCCAGTGTATACCAATAGCGCAGGCGAGATAATCGTTCCATTATCATCCATTAAAAAATAGTTCTAAGTTGGGAGAAAAAGGATTGTTACTAATGAGGTTTAACTGTCTAACAATATAACCCTATCAGGTCGACCTCTACGCGGTTTCCCCTGGAAAATATCGTTATGAATTCTAAAAGAATTCATCGCGATAGTTTCCATTATTAGCAATATATCCTGTCAGGTCGACCTCCACGTGGTCCTCCCTGAAAACCATTGTGTTGAATCCTAGGTGTATTCATCACGATGGGCTAACTGATCTGTTTTCATCCTCACCTATCATCTCTCACTGGTGCCCCGCCAGTGTATACTGATAGCGCAGGCGGGGTTGCCATTTCATTTTCATCTATAAAAAAAGTTCTAAGTTGCCAGTTCTTACTAGTAAAAATAATTTTCTTCTATCTATCTATCAAGGCTGACAATTGAAATATAGGTTAAACTGTAGAACACTTACAAATTATACTAGCGATCAGATCTAGCTTCGGGTAGATAGATAAAAAGATAAATATTTTGTATTAGTTTTAATAGACAAATTTTTAACTTTAATAGATAATTCGGGTTGCTTTATTTTAATTTTCTTAAAGATCCCTATTTTTTTAAAATAATATATGGTCTTTGCTACTCACTGATAATGTAGCTATAGAAATAAATGTAGGTGAAAGAATGTTTCAAATCCACTAAGTAGCTTTTGAGTTGACTACCTGACTGCGGTTGCCAATCTGCTGCCGAGCGTGGCAACTACTGACAAAACATCCCAAGAGAGAGCCTTATGTTCAGCAGTGGACAGTTAAAGGCTGATATGATGATAATAATGATGATGATGATGCAAAGAATGAAATCTTTATTTTTTTAAATTTAGAACAGCAAATAAGCTGACGGTTCACCTGATCTAATAATTTAACTTTATAATAACATATTAGTAGAGATAACCATCCGATACAGAATTTTTGGAAGTTCCCACAGGAAAGAAAAATGAAAGGTTTTAGGTAAGGTAGGAAACACCGCTTATTGTACTGCTTCATCTTTTGATGATTATGGATTTAATCCACGGAAAACAAAAAATATTTATACGTTTTTAAAATAAATGTATTTAATTCTAGTTATTATATATTGGGACTAAATCACATTATGAATCGTCCAGTGGAGTTTGTTGTTTTGTAAAGGAATTATTGTTAATCTTATTTTTCATAAAATCCACACATTTCCACGATGAAAATATGTTTAGTTATATTTATTTACTAGTAAGGATGGAAACGATCGAAATTCTCGAAGGCGATCATTCAGCATTTATCTACATCTATTAATAAATAATTATTTATGAGGAATTATTCAATCTACTTTTCTAGTATTTACATTTGAGTCAACTATTTCCTATTTATTATAGTGATGTAAAGGCCATGTTTTACTCAAGCATTTTATTTTTACCTTGTTTTTTATTAATTTTTTTTGTTCATTCCTATTCTGAGTGGCTTAGTTTGTAATTCTAGACTATTTCTAATTATACCAGTGTAGCTTCGGTTTTTCTGTAGAAATAAATAAATAAAATAAATTTCCGTACTAGGCCGCTTAACTAGAATTATTACAGAAATAATATAGCCATGTACATAGATATGTATCTAAAGCAACGAAGCCTGAACTTATTGTGTATACGTTGTATTGTGTACAGATAAATTGATGTCGCAAATAGATTAGCGCTATGATTATTGGAACGCAACAATATTACATTGTTATGGCCAATAATTCGTATTTAATGGGTTCGCTTATGAGAAAATGCATAATAAATATTCAATCACGTTGTAATTTAATCGACTAAGTAGTTGGCGAACAAGTCACCAGTTGGCACATCG